CCCCCCCCCACCCAATAAAAAAGGTTTGATCATTTCATCTTGATAAACAAAATATATCAGTTTCTAATCATTGCTGTGGATAGGCATCATGGACTTTGGCAGTGTATCATGGGTAAGGTACAGATAGATTCTGGTAAGAAACATCATAAGAAAAGTGTCACAAGTCATGAGATATACTGTAAATGAGAAAACCATAAATACAACACCTTTCAGCCTTGCTATAATAGTCTATGTTTGCTGAATCATGAAATAAATCAGGAATCTGGTTTTGAGTCAAAAAGTATGAATAAATATATTTATTAATCATTTATTGTTAAAAATGGCTCACTATTTGGCAGGCATTGCATTAAAAGCACCCTTTTTATTCATGCATTTATAACTTCTTATCAATGATTTATAATGCATTTGTAAATGAGTTCATAAACACCGTCATAAACCTTTAAAGGGGACTTTAATGTAAGGTGTTACCGCATATTTATTTTGTTTCTGTTGTACATGAGCACACATAACCCAACACACACATAGGTAAACACTTATTTATCACATAAGCACACATAAGTCACTGTTATTTTTATAATCAATTTATAAGGTTTATACACTAAGCCTAACCTGCATACAAATCTTTCTGCATTATTATGAATTTTCAACAGAAGCTATAATCATGTCATATAGTGAATTTTACAACAAAATATCATTAGAGAAAGAAAAATATCATTACATTGATGTAAACATGAGGGCAATAAGGATGCTGGCAATAAATCAAACCCCACATTAACAGTCAATCAAGTTAAAAGAGAATGCCGTGAATTCACGTATCAGACACTGACAAGATTAGATAACAAATAATAAAAGGAGGATTACATTATTTTTCACATTATTTTTCCTTTAGAGCGCATTTTAGCAATTTCTTACGTTTTTTTTTAAATCACACTCGTGAAACAAAATATTTTACATTGCATGAACATCTACATACAAACCTGATCTCTTACTTCTTGTGTAGAAATTTGCTAAAAACGCATTGGTCTGGTTTTTATTGGCTTTCAGTTTTTAGTTGAGACAATAATCTGTCAAACTGCCATGATCTAAAAGGGGCTGGAACAAGGAAGCCCTTATAAGTTCGCTTTAGAGTCTCTCCTAAATACCCTTGTTCTAGGTCTCTGTTAAACTGAGCCAAGATGAGTGCACAGTTCTCAGGTATGTAACAGATGTTTATATATTTATATTATATTTTGATATTATATTTATATATTTTTTTATTTTAGCTTTATTTTCGATCTTATCCATTAATGCCTCACATTAATAATCTAAAACTTTAATATTGTAATGTTATTCTCTTTAATAAGTATTTAGTCTATTAAATGTTTAGGAATTGTTTTATTTTCCTGTCACTGCTGTAAAGGTCTATCATTTTATCTAAATACAAATACATTCTAAAAAGACAGTATATTATTAATATTTTATTACATACTTGTTTTATTTGATACAATTGCATTTTATCTCTTGATCTATATAGCACAAGAAATTAGGATTGTCCTTATTGGAAAAACAGGCGTTGGAAAAAGTGCTACTGGTAACAGCATCCTTAGAAGAGATCATTTTCACAAAGCAGCAAGCTCTAAGTCTGTGACAAAGCAATGCAGTCTGGCCACCACTGTTTTTAAATGGCATAACAATCAAAGTTGTGGACACTCCAGGTTGGTGTGACACAGAGCTCTCCGAGGCTGAGCTCACGCAGGCCACAGTGAAATGCATCGACATGTCATACCCTGGTCCGCATGTCTTTCTTCTCATCCTGGCGATTGGCAATCGCTTCACAAAAGAAGAGAAGGAAACGGTCCAGCAGATACAGGAGATCTTTGGGGAAAGAGCTACAAGATACACATTGATTTTGTTCACAAAGGGGGATGACCTGGAGGACACAACTTTTGAGGACTATCTGAGAGCGGCTACAGCAGATTTCAAAGCCTTAATTGACAAATGTGGTGGCAGATGCCATGTTTTCAACAATAAAGATAGAAACTATTTACAAGTGTCCAAACTCCTTAAAAAGATCCAAGACATGGTTCAGGACAATGGTGGTGGATGCTACACCAACTCAACATACCAGCTACTGGAGCAATATAAGAAAAGAGAGGCTAAGCTACAACGGAAAGCTGAAGCTGCTAGAAAGGAGATGAAAGCCAGAGAGATTGAGTTTCAAAGACTGATCGAACTTACTGAACACAAGCAGTAGCGCCAAAGCTTGAGAGAAACACAGCTGCATGAACAACTGACAAAACACAACCACATTATAGTTACTATGCTAGAGCACGTGCAAATAGAAAGAAACGAGAGTAGACAAGAGGAAGAAAGGACAAAGAGAGCATTAAGTTCCCAGGCTGCAGAACATCAAACGTTGATGGAGCTAGAGAGGCAAAAACAAAGAGAAGAGCAGTTAAAACATCAGCGTTACATGGAGAACGAGGAGTTAAAGAGAGAAAAAAAAATGAAGAGTCCCAGCATAGACAGAGAATGGACACGGAGAGGCAGAGGTTTAAAAAAAAAGAGAAGCGAGAAATGTCAAAAACAATTCTTCAGCTGGAACAACAGAAACAGATGAGACAGGATGAAATGCAAGAATTGTTAATGGAAAAAATTAGAAAAAATAAAAACTGTATTATTTCATTAAGAAAAAACTCTACTTAGACAATATTATAAGGCGTCTTAAGTTTCAAAGAATATTGAAAACGTTAAAAATGTGATTGTAAATATTCTTCTGCAATAAATTTGAATAGTTCAGCCATCAAATGTTTTTTTCAAGATTTGCCACCTAATTATGCATACATTTTTGAAAAGAGACATTCCTCATGAAAATTGATTTTGATTCACATACAGTGGGTACGGAAAGTATTCAGACCCCCTTAAATTGTTCACTCTTTGTTATATTGCAGCCATTTGCTAAAATCATTTAAGTTAATTTTTTTTCCTCATTAATGTACACAGCACCCCATATTGACAGAAAAACACAGAATCGTTGACAGAAAAATGTAAGGGGGTCTGAATACTTTCCGTACCCACTGTATATTTGGGTGTTGTCAGGACACTAACCACATATTTTTTTATTTTAAAAAAGATTACCTTATTTTATCATAGATCTAGATACAGCTACTTCACTACTCTAAATCACTTAGACAATAAGGCCCGAGTCGCAAGAAAACTCTTGCATGTAATTGTAAGTGAATTACAAGTTTCACTAAGGCTTTTCTTACATTACCTGCAAACAGACCCAGAAACATATTCAGAATGGTGAAGGAAAAAATTAATTTCAAGATAAAACAGAAAATTAAAGTGGTTTAAGGAAAGCTTATTTCATACTAAATTTGTATATCGCACACGCCGGTTTCTAAACATTTAGTGATTTTGGATAACTTCAATAAGTTGTTGGAAGTTCCAATGTAATGAGAAGCTATCACAAAACATGAAAAAAAAAAATATATATATATATCCTTCTGAAACCATTAATAATAATAATTAACTGTTATGAAAGAGATTACAGCAGTTGAATATAGTATTTTACTTTATGCAATGTGTAAAATGGCCATAAATTAGTACTCCCATATAATGTATATGTATCTATACATTTTATCTAATTTGCATATTAACGTGTTCTTGGGGTAACATGCAATGAAAAGGAACTGTAATAATGTAATAACTTGACAACAAACTTGAAAATGTAATATATTTCCATAAGAGTACTACATTTGATAATTTGGTCAATGTCAGTCATTTTTTTAAAGCAAGGACCACAATGGAAATAAGTTATTGTAACTTTATGGTGTTATCCTTGACAAGGTTGTAGCAGTGAATTGCTACTTTTTGTGTCAAATAAACTGAACTCAACTCATTATTAAAGAGAGAGGGAGTTTTAATGGTTAAACCATTGTCTAACATTTGGCATCTCTAAAATGCCCTGAATGTGCTCTATATAGGACGTTCAGACTTAAAACTGACACATATGATCTCTGTGAAATTCCCTAAAATATAACGTTCTCTACAGAGGGCAAATATCAATGCCTGGGTCTCAAGAGTAAATATGATCATCACCCAGTGTTATCCTTTATTAAGTCAACATACTTAAAGGCATGCAGTAGCTGGTTAGTCTACCGAGAAGTCAGTTTGCATTTTTGGTCATTGAAAACAAATCACGCATATTCAATTTATGGTTTTTATTTCAAAAAAAGAAGGGAAGAAAAAAAAATTCCTAGTGGACAAATGCCTGCCTGGTAATAATCCAAACCAGTGCTAGACACAAGGCATGTGAACTTGCACCCCTCGACAAAAACACTGTAGTACACAGCAACACTATGAGAGAAGATCGCAATATGAAACAAATGTGAAGATATTCAAACACAGGATAAGCATCACCTTCAATAAAAGCACTCAAATGGAAAATTTAGTCTGATGGTTTTCCTCCATGGAATTAAATTTTAGTTCTGGGTCTGGAGAAACTTAGTTTTAAGTGCTTACAGTGCAAAAGAGCAGCAGATAAGCTTAAACTAAACGGTCAGTCACCGGATGAAGATTCCTCCTATATGACATTAAAAAGATCAACGGATCTAAAATAGTGCTCATTAACACCACCTATGAGTTGCACAAGAGATTACTCTGCGGTCTCATTCAGAACACGATAATATCCTCTGATTAAATCATTGTAACAAGTAAAAAAAAAAAAACAACAACAAAGCTAACAGATGAGGACATAGGAGCGCTACCTGAATTAAAACTGTTACTCCACAGAAGACAAACTGCACATAATGGAGGCGCCCTCTACTGATGGTCCAAAACAACTGCCTCCAAGTACAGAACAAACACAAAAACGATATGGGCTCATTCAGCTACCACTGGGCAGAGCTCCTGTCCACAGTGAAACATGACAGGTTTTACCTACATGGAAGATGCTGGCTTTACCAGACACACACACACACACACACACACACACACACGCGTACACACGCGTACACACGCGTACACTGCTCTCCGAGATGCCTCACATACTTATGCTAAAGGAATCTAGCGCATCCTGTACTCTGACGTCTTGGACACCTCACAAAGCTGACCCTTGAAGTCGATGTCGACGGTAAAGTCCAGGTCTCTCTGGAAAAAAGGGGGGAAATTATATTAAAATGTAATTATGAAATATCCTCTTAATGGTCAGGAATGTGATCAATGTATAGATCTGTAGAACCATACCAACGTTCGTTTATTCATTTAGGACATTTAACAGGTTTAATTATAAAATTAAGACTTTAAAGCTTTACCAGAAGAATACATTCTTAAATATCAAAATATAAAACGTTTAATTATAACTTCAAAATAGCACTGTACTTGCTGAAAGAAACTTTCAAAATCTTAGAGCCAAAATTTTAACAGTAGTGTAGGCATATTTTAGAACTTATATTATTGTAATATAATGCAGAATTATATCATATAAATTTCTCTTTACACTTTCATGTAAGAATCTATTCTAAAAGTGATAATTTAGAATATTAAGTGCAGGTGGGGCTTACATTATTCTTGACGTTGGGTTTCATGCTGATGGTGCCAAAGATCTCCTCTCCGGTCTTCACCGTCAGATAGTCATCAAGGTAGAACACAGTCTGCTTCCAATGAGTGTAAGGAGACTCTGGGCCTTAAAGACAAAAATGCACTTTGTTTTCCAAGGGTTCATTTATAACTTAAATTCATGGTGAGAAAAACTGTGGTAGAGAGAGGGGAAAACAAAGACAGCACTCACTAGTAGAGAAGCCTGTCCTCTTGTGGCAGCGAGTGAACTCAATGTTGAAGTAGGTTACCAGCGCATGAATGTAGTCGTTCCTTTTCACCTGCAGGCAGAAAGGTGACGTGAAGGACAGGTCCTCAATCTTCACTGTGTAGATGTCCACCTCCTAATGAACCGAGAGAATCAGTAGGGTTGAATAAATAAGCAAGCAGAGGTTATATAAAAACCAAACACTTCACACATGACATGTTGTCAGACACAGACAATCAGGCAAAAGAGCAGTTGCACATGTGTACATGCATTTATCCAAAATGGTGCGCCTAAAATGTGGAAAAAGCAAGGTCAGAAAATTATTTTTGCCATGTTTAGTCCCGTTGGGCACATTTTAAAGAAAAAAAAAGAAAAAATTCAGACAATATTCTGTAAAACAGAATCTCTAAAAATGTCTGTCATGCACAGTCTGGAATAATGTACATGGTTTCACACACACACACACACACACACACACACACACACACACGTACACACGCGAACACACGCGTACAC